GGTCCAGCTGTTGGATTTGTCGGATTTGCTGTCACAATACTATTACCTTGAATATCATTAAACCCTTTGTTCACCTTAACTAACGTAGCTATACTTAAAGCAAATACAACCGTTGTCAGCACTATTCCAACCCCAACAACAGGTACCAAAATTTTCATAAATTTAAGCATTTTATCTTCATTCATATTGCTCTCCATGAATAGTTAAAAAAAATAAAAATGGTAAATGAAATAGCAGTTGTCGATTATTTATAGAGATAGATTACAAAAAAAGAATGAAAAAATTAGTAATGTTATCTAACCTTGACTAACACAGATTTATGGTAATAGCTATAAAATAAGATCGTTAAAAAAAAGACATCTCATTTTAGATTTATTAATATGACTATAATTTAATGTGATAAGAAGGATAGTAATATATGTCAGAATAAAGAATAAAAAATAAAAATGAATGTTAGATTTATTGATGTAAAATGCAATTTCTGATAATTTTCTATTTCGTCATCATAAGATTGATACATGTTTGTAGGCGTTGACTGAAATATAGATGAATAAATTGGAAAATTATTATATCGTTCGATTCTTATACGTAAAAGTTTAATAGATCGTACTCTTCTCATTCAATCTTCAGTTTTTCCATGATATGATCCTCTCTTACGTCTTCACTATCACATAAAAAAATAAAATTTCATCTCGAATAATTTTCGAGATACTAGGAGCACTTAATAACATATCTAGGCAATTATCATAAAATATCTATAGCTAATCGTAAGTAATATTCCTAATTCTATCCGTTTGTAATTCGTTGTCAGTGTCATCACGATGGATTTTGTCACCAGATTTCATAATCTCTTTTTTTAGTTGATATTGATAACAAAAAAAAGGAAAGTGCAAACAGTGATTACAATAAAATTCAGTATTTAAGGACAAAGATGTGAGAAGTTGTTGAAAAGGACAATCGAGATATCATTTTGCCTCGTTAACTTCATGCATATGATATGAATTGCAATGGTGACAAGAAAAAAAAACATGTTTCAAAATATCACGTTTACTACTATTGATACAGTTCTTGTGATAAACGGTTCATAATCTTTAGAGAGATGTGAATAAAAAGACACTTTAGTTTCTATTATTAAACCAATATTTCAATATTCTATTAAGTTCCATATATAGTTAGAAGTATGACTACATATTATATATCACTGTAAAAACTCTATTTTGGTTTCCTATGATAACAGTATTTTTTTAAATATGACAAATAAAAGTTTTTGCTCTGTAATAAGTTTGTTAGGTAGTGTGTATTTTGTAGATAACTATGTTGCTGATCGAGACATCTCTTGAGCGAAAGATAATGAGTATGTCCTTTTTATTTGTTTCATCGTCTAAAGAAAAAGTGAAAGGTGACTGTGAAACTATTGTGTTTATTCGAAGAGCATGAAAAATATTAGACGATGAGTAAATATATATCCTATAGAGTGTGGGTGCAGTGCTGGGCAAGTACGAGTACGAGTATCATTGTATCGAGTGTGATTTTAGAGTTTTTGAAACAGCTGGTAAGAAACTTTGTACATATAGTTGTAAAACATGTCATATACGTGTATATGTCAAAACAGAATATGATGAGAGCGAAAAGAAGATCTTATTTTTATTATTCTTTATGATCAACTTTATGAAAATTAAATTACAATAAAGAATCAAACTGATTTATCCAAAGAAAAATACTGCCTTTATACTTCAGCAACCGTCCACACAACACATGAGAACAAGTAAAAGATAAATTGAAAATTTGAGTATATTCTTTATACTTAAATTTTGGGTAACACAAAACAAAGAAGACTGTGTAACCAGTTGGAAAAGTAGAACAAGGAAAGAATATGATAATTTCAATGATTCTCATGAGCGGAGAAAAAAAAGAATGACCTATATATATATATGTATGAGCGATTCAAAGAAGAAGAGAAAGGTAAACGAAAAAGAAGAAAATAAAAGAAGAACGTATATATATATATAAACAGAATGTATATTTCTCCTTAAAGTGCTCTTTGATATATAAGATGAAATAAGACGTGTATAACAATAACTATTAGTAATTCCAAAGGATCAAGTTATTTATTAAAAAATAAAGAAAGATGAAACGAATTATGTACCAGTTAAATACCATTCATATACATTCAATGTATTACTAATTGAAAAAAAAACTGAATGAATTTAAAAAAAAACAAAAGAAATAGGATTTGATAACTATAACTGATTTCATGCAGTGTTTATATACATATATTTAAGCAATCGAAACAAAAAGATGTTGAAAATTCGCTTCTTCCATGAAGGACATAACAGCATAATAGCTAGTTTACGAACTATACTTAATTAAAAACTACCACATTATACCCTCGAGTACAAGTACTTTGCCTACCGTGGGTGTGGATATTCATTGCATTTATTATAAATACTTACACTCACACCCTCACCCTTATAAATATTTGAATAGAGATTGTTGAACTCGATTGGAAAAAAGTAACTTTTCTATAATTAAGAAGTTTCTCTGAAACATGAAATATTGCATTGATTTCATTACAGCACAACATAAATATATCATAAGCTTCTATTAAGATGTTTTCTAATGTCAGTTTAGAATTCTTATTCTATCACGAACTATAAAAGAAAAAAATCTAATGGAAATCAAAAATATTGACATGTGACATATAATATACATTGGTGATACAAACAGCAGTAGGAAAAGTACTTCATTTATCTGTAAATTGTTCAAAAAAGCTCTTCTGTGGATATCATCATACAAAAAGAGGACACTCTATTTTTCTGTACTATTTTATCTGTATTTAACTAGTATAGTATCAATTAAGTATCGTTAGTACTCGCTTTTCTATGATCTATACCTGTTACATTAATGTCTTATAGAAGTAAAATACATGATTGTGTTATTAACTTCTCAAACAATAAGAACCTTGATTCAATACAACTAGAGCAAAAACATGATTGAACATACTTTTATTCGTTGAATTTATGACGTTAGTTAGTCAACTGATGATACTTACAGAACGATAACCAGTTACCTGATAGAAGGATAACGAAGAGTTCTTCAATCCAATACCCATCTTAAGGAAAAATCGTTCTGCTAAATCAACGATAATGTATCAAATTCTATCAAAGGTAATCGAAATCGGAGAATTCAAAAGTAACGAGTTCATCAAAGCTATAATCCAAAATGTCCATGAATCTTGTTTACAATGCTACATTGGAAAAAAGAAACAAAATACAGAATTTGAGAAACTGATTTATGCATAGGCAAAATCTTCGATCTTGATTACTTTTCATCGAAATTAAGTGGTTGTTCTAAAAAGTAGCTTTTGTATAAGAAGATAATTGAATACAAGGGCTCACAGTTATTATATTACTAAATAACTGGTTACACAAGACTAACTTCACTTTTCTTGACGATAGCAGTAGTTATATAGCCGGCTATAATTTAGAGAAATCAATAGATGATAGCGATTATCGCATCCCTGATTACAATAAGGATTATAAGAAATAGTTTCTTTCGACAAACTTTACGATAATATCGGTTGTTCACATTTATTTTCATCTTAACATAGACAAAAACTTATTCAGTATCATTGATAAAGCACATCTTAAAAGCTTCGTAGAAGCGCTCACGCTCATGAGCGAGAGGGCAGATTGTATACACTTAATAAATATATAGAAGACGACTCTCAGTAACTAGCATGCACTGTTAACATAAATAAATATGTTAGACAGAAGAAACAAAAGAAGTTAAGCAAGAATCTTGAAGAAAAGCTTCATATAAGAAGTTTAAGAAATCAAAAGACACTTTCTCAAAAACTAAATATTAGTTCAAAATTTATCATCAACCATCTATATTGCATAAAACTTGGTTAAAATATTTATTAGAATCATCTATAAACCATTAGTAATTATTAGAAGTAAAAAAGAACGACAAAAATAAAAAATTAAGTCTATAAATAAGGCATGCCAAAATATTCATTTATAGAGTTATATTTTCGTTGTGGTGATTGATTACTAAGACGTGTAGGTCTACCATCTGGATAAAGGAATCCGCTCAAATCATCTCGGCGAGCTAAATTTTCTAACATAAAAGCAGCTGCTTGCACCATCTTTTCATATGCAAATACATTTATATTTTGAATTGAATCACAAGCTTGATGATAACATGGATCTTGAATAGCACCAGCAATACCACCCATTCCTTGACCGAGCATTTGATCCATATAATCACGCGTTTGTTGATCTTTGACTTCGTCAGCTCCAGTAAATAAACCACCAGCAACTATACCTTCAAATAAAAAGGGTCCATAATCACTTCGACCACTAAAATCAGTATGATTCCATGGTAGCTTTTGTGAAATAAACCAATCTCGAAAGAGAGAAGTGATTTTATTACTACCTGGAAGAGCTTGAGCAGGAGTATTAGAAGCTGCTGTGTGACCATCATAAATACCAAAGATATAATTAGGTGACCCAAGCATGTCATAGTTAAGATTAATTAAATAATCTTGAAGTCGTTCACCAACAGTTGTGGCATTCTTTGCTTGTTTAACATGAAAATCAGAACCAAGAAGCCCAATTTCTTCTGCACCCCACCAACAAAATCGAACACGGTATTTATATTTAGGATACGTAGATGTTTGAAATAGTCGAGCTAAAGCTATAGCAAGACCAAGATTAGCTGCACTACCACTACCTGAAAGATAGATAAGATACATAGATTAGTGAATTATTTCTTTCTCACTGTCTTACCATTATCATTAATACCAGGACCAGCAGGTACACTATCACTATGACTTCCAATAACGATGGTTTGAGTAGCATCACCTGTAGGTGTATCAGCACAAATATTTCCTACGGGCGATAGTGGTAGATCTACCAGGTTAATAACAAGTTGAACACCGGTATTGGTTGATGAATCTTGAGCAGCAGCGACAAGTGCTTGTCCAACAGGAAATGAAAGAAATAGAGCAGGTACGGCATTTTCTTGACCAAGATTAATAGCCATAGGTTGAACACGATCTGGAGTAACACCATCATTGTAAATTAAAATAGCTGCTGCATTATTTTGAGCAGCAAAAACACCTTTATCTGAGAATGCACAAACACCTCTTTTCACTAAAGCTACTCTTCCAGCTACTGGTGGATTAGCATTTTTCCAGTCAGCATCGGAACATCCAACGTTTGGAATAACAGAAATTCCAACAAAAGCCATAAAATTTGCTCGTGTAGAAAGTTCAATATAGGTGAAATCGGCAACAGAAAGATCCTTTGAAAATGTATAGGTTTTAGTAACACCATTAATCGATGATATTAAGATGGGATCACTAGCCATAGCAAACTGTCGTACAGGAAAGAAAGCTTGTGATACATGAAAATTAGTATTAGCTGCTAAAGTATCAGTAATATAATTAAGTGTATGATTGTAGCCAATTGTAGTAACAGCTCGATTTCCATTGCTTGATGTTGCAATTCGTTGAAACGCATTAAGATGGTCCATCACATCATCAATACGAATCGATTCAGCTAGAATAGAATCAAGTGGTTTAGGTGTCGTGGTTATTGTTGATGATTTATTTGTATTCACTTTCACTAAGATAGCTATAGCTAAGCCAAGAATACTAATCGTAAGTAATATTCCAACTCCAAGAGTAACGAGGATTAATTTCATACTTCTATCCGTTTTTAATTCGTTACTAGTATCATCAGGATAGATTTTGCCACTAGATGTCATAATCTCTTTTTTTAGTTGATACTGTTAACAATAAAAAGAAAGTGCAAGCAGATAGTGCAATAAACTTCAGTATTTAAAGATGAAAACTAAACCACTTGTTGAAAATAACAATCTAAAGATCTTTTTGCTTCGTCAATTGCAGGTATATAATATCAATTAGAATGATGACAATAAAAAATACATATTTGAAAACATCACATTTACTGCTACCGGTAGAATTCATGTCATAAAAGACATAATCTTTAAGAGGACGTGAATAATAAAACGTTTCAGTTTTTATTATCTAGTTAATTATTCAACATTTCAGTACGTTTCATATGTAGATAAAAATATGAATACATATTATATATCACTGTAAAAGCTATAGTTTAGTTTCCAGTGATAAAAGAATTCTTTTTAAATATGATAAATAGGAATTTTTTTGAAATATAATAAATCGTTATATACCGTGTAGTTTAGAGATCTTACTTAATAAAGAAAATAAAGTTGTTAGTTGAAAATGTTTTTTATGACTGTAATAACTGAAACATGCGATTGAAATTTATGTTGCTGTTTTTCAATAGTATTCAGCAGTTACATATTAAAATAAAACTTTAAATTTTGTAGAGATAAAATCTTGGAATTGATAATTAGAATATCACTCAGCGCTATATAAACATATTACTATAGTTGAAAAAATATGACATAATTTCTTAGTGTATGTGATTGACCTTAAGGTCAATTTATAATATAAATAGATTTATTTGTGCACATCATAATCACATTAAAGGTTAAAAGGCAATCAGATTTTGCCATTCGTTGTTATTGCAGTACGAACATAGATTTATTTTACATTTTTTTTCTCTTTCTTTGTATATATTTTCTAATGTTTTATGATTGCAAGATTTTTTTTTATTAAATACAATTTAGGAGTTTATTATTTAAAGTTTTATTAGAATTGATTTCGGACACTTTATTCTAGTACGTGTAAAAAAAGACAAAAACCGGATGTTAATACTGCAACAAGTGAAAGTATTCATTCGTCAAACTAATTTTCATCATTATTCTTGGGGATTTAAATAAGTCACTGTTCCATACGAATAAAATTATTTTTTTAGATTATCTTGTCGAACTGAATTTTCTATAACATAAGTAACTATTTACACCATTTTTTCATATGCAAATACGTTTTTATTCTGAATTGAATTGCAAACTTGATAGTACCATAGATCATAGATAATACCTGAAATCCTACTTAATCCTTGATCAAGTAATCGATCATGCTCTTCTATCGAATCGAAGCTACTACTAATTCAAGCAGGTAAAGCATTATTCTAACTAAGACTAACTTCCATGGATAGAAGAGTACTAGATGATCCACCATCATCGTAGAAAAGAATACCAGATGTATCGAATTGAGCTGTATACTCATAAAATACACAATTACCGCCTATTTTTATAAGTACCACTTGCTTTCACATAGGTGTAGAAATATGCCATCAATCAGCTGTTATACAACCACCATTTGGAATAATAGTAAACTGAAAAATGCACGGCTGAAATACCACTGATCACCATCAGGAGAAAAGGATTATTGTGAACAACGAAATCTCGAACAAAAAAATTGGTCTTAGTTTTATTAAAACTGATTTTATTGCATAGTGTATTCGTGATACAGTTAAGTGTTTAATCAAAGTCAACAGTGCTTATAACTTGAGTACCATGCGATATGTTGGTGATACTCTACAGTTCTCTAAGATGTTTTAAAACTTCGTCAATATTGATTGACATATGACGGATTCCATTTTATGATAGTAGAGTTATTGCTATTGTTGATAATCTAATCGTTTATTGAGAGTGTCAAAAGTAGTAGCAGCAAGAACAAACATAATTATTTCAAACAAACTAATGACTTCTGATATAATGAACAGACGTAGATTTACTACATTTTCGTTATTCATCAATACTTGTGTTATTTTTAGAAATAAATTAACAATTACTTGAAGAGAAACTTTATTATTCTAACTTGTATATTATAAATTACAAATCAGCAAATATACATTGATTTCTGTAACAAAAAATAATTAATTTAGTTTTATAATATCGGACGATAATTTTATTGCTCTTCAATTCTCTTTCTCATAGCAGTAAATATTGTCACAATGATAAGAATCATTGTTAATCTATAACTTTAAGATTTACTATTTTACGATTGTAATTGTACGATGCAAAGAAAATGACTAATAGATAATATATATTATTTATGTGACATATATATAATTCATTGATACATAACAACAATGATTAATATTGACGTCCTTCTTATATTATAAAATACAAGTTTCTCGTTTTATCTAGAATTTGTCTTATAAAACTGAATCATTTCGATTTAACCATTTTTTTTTATTTTAAAAATATTTCATTATCGATTGTTATTTCTTGATCAACAAAAAATGATGATAAACCATATAATTCGATATCTCTTCGGAAAAAAAAGAATGTATTATAAACGATAATTTTCTTCTATAAATATTTTATTTTTAAATGATGTTCAAATAAATTGAATGCAAAGCAAATGATTAAACATATTTGTCAATAACGAATAAAAAAGAAATACATACATACATATATAGACTATTGCCCAGAGAAATTGATTTCTTTTATTTCGTTTACTATTGACAATTCATTAACGAAAAACTTAGTGATATTTTAATTTCAATAAAACGAGATTATAGAATTAGATTAGTAATTCAAAAGTGTATATTTCTTTTCCATAGATATTAGATTTAATTCAATAAAAATTGTTAATACATGCTTAGCTAGTTAGTTTTTATATTATCAAGAATTAAACGATACAAAACATTTCTACTCTTTGAAAGCATCTGAAAGAATAATAAGCTATTATTTTAAATATAGATAAAAGAAAGATAAGTAACTGATAGTAATATTAGCACTGAGACTATCTGGCGAAAGCATTCTCTAGAATTAATTATTCATTTGCATATTATATTTGTGAATAATGAATGCTTTTAGATTTTTAGCTTTCGATTTCAATGTTAATCAATTTGTTTATTTATTATTTTTTCTTATTTCAACTGATATAGATGATCAAGATTATAAATGACCTAAATAATTGAAAAAATATGCCGTGCTAACGACTTTCTACAAAAAAAAATGCTCTTTTTCAAAATATCTTATTATTATAATCTCATTAGACAAGGAAAGAGAAAATTCAAAAAGAATATTTGACTATTTCATATCACATGTACTACTTGAATGTTCAACAGTTTATAATAAAATACACGAAAAATCTTAACATACATGTAAAAAATTGGCATATAAAGAACATTGTATTTATTCTTGATTTCTGATCTATCAACGCATATCGTATTAGAAGTCAAACTATTCGTTCTAATGATTAAGTGTGAAGAAGAATTTCATTAAATTATACGACAATATTAATTTTTTCTTCATAAATTAATAATAATATTAAATGACACAAAAGCACTGAATGTAATATTACCACTTATAATTTTCAACTTCTTTTTATACAACAGACAAGAGAAAAATAAAATGGTAAATGTTGAAAATCAATCCGCTTTATCAATACAATATCCACTACTTATCACTGATTTACACTCGCACTCTTCAATTCCGCTATCTTTATATGAGTAATCAGCTTTATACACCTACTCAAGCCACTATTTATACATCATATCAATCTTAACAACCATCAACAAATTCTCAACCAAACAAAGCAACACCACCCTTTTCTTAAATAAATATCTATAAAAATATACTTATAATAGTCAAACAATTCTTTATTTTATTCATTCCTCTTGACAAATTAGTCATTCTATCATCAATCAGAGACACACTTCTTCTCATACCAATATACTTTTTTTTGAAATCTTCCTACAAAACAAAGTTCAAAGCTTCTGATAAACTTAAGAACATTCGAGAATATCAAATCTCAATGAAACAAATCTGACAAATAAATCTCTTTTTCAACTAGAAGATGTATTTATAAACATGTTAACTAATGGTGAGAAGAATAAGATATGACGATAGATAAATATAAATAAAATGAATATGTATAGTTTTATTTATAAAATGAACAGAAAACAAAAAACAAAAAAAATAAGAAGTAGGAGGTGAACAGAAATTATAAAATAAATATAATCTGTAAGCGTGATAGTTGATTCATCAATACCAAAAGTTTGTATCGATTCATTTGATCATATTATTCATCATACTTGTCGAAATTATCCAGAGGTGGTCGGGTTCATAGTAGAAGTTGGAGCACTACTTTGACTTGTGTCCGGATGCGTACTAGCATCAGTATGAGTCGACCCAGTACTTACACTTGTAAGTATAGTAGAAGATGTATGTTCAGTTGGAGGTACGGATGTTGCTGTGCTAATTGATGAGTGTGTGGTTGTTACTGATGAGTTGCCACCGAGGGCCGATATTTGGTTTTGCACAGTTTTTATTTGATCATGAAGAT